GATTTGATTTGATTTGATTTGATTTGATTTGATTTGATTTGATTTGATTTGATTTGATTTGATTTGATTTGATTTGATTTGATTTGATTTGATTTGATTTGATTTGATTTGATTTGATTTGATTTGATTTGATTTGATTTGATTTGATTTGATTTGATTTGATTTGATTTGATTTGATTTGATTTGATTTGATTTGATTAATTATTCAAATAATAAAATAAAATAAAAACACAGACCTGAATGCGGGCAGCGCAGGACCGGTCGATGCGAAGAATCCGTGGTGAGAGGTCTTTGTCCAGCAGTGGATGCCATTTGGCTGAAACGAAAAACACAGGTGTTATTGTTGGGGCACCTGCCGACCACGATATATTCGATTCGCTATGGGATTCTTTTGGAAAGTGAGGAATCTGTTTCTGCCCAGCCTGCGGCAGCGGCTGTAAACGGAGCAGCGGCGTTATTCCACTGCCTAATTAAAGGACGAAGTCATTACGGCTAATGCGATTCTGCTGTCGCTGGCTTTTACGGCGCGATCATTGCTTCTTTACGTCATAATTAGAGAAAAACAAAAACGGAAGCTTTCTTAATCGCCGTGCTTTCCGCCGACACTATGCGGGCTAGATTTGGATTAAGATTCCGTGTATTTTGAGCTTTCAAGTCAAATTACGCATATAAGGCGGAACCGTCATTCAGTCTGTAATGTTTCCACTGCAGGTTGTTGTTTCTGGCCTCTTTTTTACATCTCTAGAAAAAACTTTCATTATCTTTTGTTATTACAATTATTGAGATCTTAGCAATGATAACGCTCAAGCATTAACACTGATACATGTAAGATCTCAATAAGAAGTTGAAACCACGGTATCTAACTCCCATCTATTTGAGGTAAGACCTGCAAGTATGTATGTGTTACAGGAAATGTATGAAATCCGTCATTGTATACAATTCCTAGGATTTGTGTATAAGTCCTAAAATCACCCGGAAATGTGTGATGTAAATTATATTAGACACATTTCCTAAACAGCAATCGGAAATGTAATTAAGATTTCTTTTTTTTCTCCGAAACTTAAATGGCGCTACCGCGCCGCGGCCGCTGTGTATGTGTAAGGTCGCAAGTCTAACCTAACCTAACTGAGACTTTGTTATCCAGCTACAGGAGTATCAAAAGTGAAAACCTTCAAAGTCAAAGTCAAAGTCAAAATTTCTTTATTTGTTTGGACTAATAAATAGTTCTTACAAATCGTCATTTTGCTCTTAAGGAGCCTCTACATGTCTCATAATCTTTTTACCCTACCAGCGCTTCGAGACCAACATTTGGCAAGTGCTGAGAAGAAGCGCCGCAACAAACTCAGTCACCACTGTCTGCCGGTTAATATAAATAAATAGAAATAGTAGTAGTAGGTACATTAGCCAGGTAGGTACATTACTTCATGCCAATAATAGTTTAATAAAAGAGATGTTAAAATTAGGGTTTTCCAATACTTCAGCGTAATATGCGTGATGCCAAAAGAAAGGTATGCCAATAGGCAAATATTTTTTTCAGCCAAAGTATAATAGTGTGAAAACAACTTTCAGGCTGAACAATAATAGTTGTGAGTTAAAAGTACCTATCGCCAATGTGGTTTGGCTAAATGAAATTTTAGGCGTACTGTGGGGCACCCGATCACACGACCTCGCTTGTGCCGCTTAGTTTTATACATTTCCTAATACAATATTGGAATTCTATAAAATTCCTAGGAAAAGTAGTCCTAGGATATGTGCGTATTAAAAAATCTCTGAAGCAATATTTTATACATTTCCTAGGAATAGTATACAATTCCTAGAATTCATACATTTCCTGTAACATATGTACCATGTTGCTGGTGGTATTCTGAATAAATTACGTCGAAAAGAAACGACGCGGAATAAATACTCGTAATTAAAAAAGATTAAGGTTAAAACCAATTTGTGTGCTACATAAAGCCGAAAGTGGGAGCGTACAAGCGTGCATTATACGGGATATGAAAGGGGCGTGCGAGCGAAAGTTTATCAATATTGGGCGCGTCTCGGCGCCGCTGGCAGGGCGACGGATTAAACGCAGGGGTGACGACTGACTACCAGCTGGGTAGCCGGTAATAATCACATACAACAATAAAAATAAATATCTTTGGACATTTTACACTACGCTTCTAGTCCCAAACTAAGCAAATCTTGTACTATGGGTACTAGACAACGGATATACATACTTAAATGCTTTTTTTAAATACATACAAAATATACATAGTAGAACACCCAGACCCGTCACAGAAATTAAAATTCATCATTTCAATTTCTGCCCAGCCGGGAATCGAACTCGGGACCTTTCGGCATAGTAGTCCGTTCCGAACCACTACACCAAACGGCCGACAAAACAATTGCATGAAATTAAGTAAAAAAAGGTATCACTTTAAAAACAATAATGAAAAAGATGTATAGAGAGAGAGAAAGAGAAAACTCACTTTGCTCTAATATTAACTCACGCGTCGATTTTTATACTATGTTATGGTCTCTTAGACCTAAATAGGTAAATAGGGTGTACAAGTAAATCTCAAGTACATAATATTTTATTTAAGCAGACTAGCAACCCTGAGTTCTCAGGTGACGAGCGGAGTTCATTTCGCGGGCGACAAAGAAAGATGCCTCCGATATTACTAACTCGCAAACAATGACGTAACTACGTCCATTTTAATCTGATCCTCTCAGCGGAAGCGCTGATGTTACCTACTTCGTAATACACACTTTACACCAAGGGATTTATATTGGTTCAATTCAATATTCCAGGTAAATTGTAAAACACAATAATTATACCTATTGAAATAAGCAACTAATATAATCTGACCCAAAATATGAATATAATTAATTAATCATTAATTAAATAATCATTTTTGGCTCGTATTAGTTCAATCCTTAGCACGTGTTCCCCGTTCTTCTTCTAATAAGCTCACATTACGTGAGCCATCTACGACGACGCTTCGAGAAAATCCCGAAATGTAGCGCGGTTGTAAGCTCGTTTGCCAAAAAGCGCCGAAAATATTGTAATCTGAAAGAGCTTTTCTATTTTATCAAATTGTGTTTTTATCTTTAGCTTACTCTGAGCTTTAAGGTCGAATAAAAATTAAAAATACATGTCTGAAAATAAATACATATACAATAGAGATTCTTATTTATATACACATTTTACAAAGTAGAGCTATGTTTATGAATTTGTTGGAATACCGATTTAATCTACACTACAGGCTTGGCTAGATTTCCAAACTTTAATAACAAAGCCAATAATTACCTCGAAGTAAGAAGACGTCCACAAATGTTGTAATTGCTTCAATAATACGTACAATTAATTAAATATTCGACTTCGCCGGTGCAATTTAGTTGCCGCGACCCGCCGCTGGTGCAAGCTGTAAAAGCCAGGTGCGATGGCAGGTGCAGATATGCAATATCTTACTTTGGATCGCGTATTTGCCAAATATTCAGCACATTTCATCGCTTATTTGATTTCTTATTAAAAATTTCAACCTCTTCCAGGTGTGGTTACAAAAGATTTCAGCAGGTGTCCAATGGCAATGTTAGAAAACTACGAAGTTTCCCATTTTGTGCATCTTTGGAATAAAACTGCATAGCAAAACTTAGTAGGTGTAAAAACACCACACTCAAAGAGCTACATTTACCCTGTTTGTAGGAATAGGGTCCATTTATCATTAGTGCATATCATAAAAGTACATAAATACTTCGTAAATACGCGGCCGCATGCGGTGCAGCGAATAAACAACTCTGACGCTCCTTAGCAGAGCCCAACTTTTAGATTTCCTCGCGATGTATTATTAATACTGAAACTTTGCCCCACTGAGCCCTAAATGGATGATATTAACTACTTCATTTCATCACAGACAACAACTTTAGTTATTAATCATTGTGCAAAGCTTATTACTCTAGCAGTCATGTACATAGTACGGGTAATTGTACTTGTCTTAAGCAGTTTCTAGCAGTTTTTGCTACTTAATTGTATGTAATTTCATGTAATGTTCATTCTACAGACGAGTTAATAAGAGCACAGTGATAAATCGATATCCACTGTGATATATTTCTCACATCAAAAACCAGTTTCCGCGACGTGGAGTAATAATAAATATTCCAATATCGTCAGCCAACAGCGGCCCGGACGCGAGTGGCCCCTTCAGTTCGACTGAGCACTCGTCCACGACTTCGATTCCCAGAACTGTTATAATATGAACGACGTAAGAGTGATATATCGTATTCATATAAAGACAGCGCACTTTCGTATGTGCGAAATTTTTACCGATTCATTTATTTGAAATTTATTTGGAAATTGGAATATGAGTGTAGTAATGTAGGAGATTCCTGAAATTCTCAATAAAACTGCGAATGCCGGAGCAGTTTAATTACGATTCTACATTTTTCTGTGATCGCTGGTAATTTTCGGATGGTGGCATGTTTTTCATCATTGTTTAGATACTGAACTGGGACAAAAGCGGTTTTCCAATCCTGCGCCACAATCGCTCACACGGCGCAGCAAAAGCGATTCGCGCGAACAACGGATTTCCATCAGAACAAACCGGAGACTGTCGGGCGGTAAATTTATAAAATTTTAACGGCCTTTTGTTTGCGGATTGTGTCCGCGCCTGTACAATACAAATGTTTCATTTCACTTCACCGGTACAGTTGGAGACAAAAGGGTTAGTTACCTAAAATAATTTAATTTATCGAACAGAAATATCAAGCAATTTCCAAGATTGATACAAATTAACACAATCTTTCACAATCTCCGAGTGAAGTTCCAATTAGTTACTTCCTGATTATCACTACTTAGCAAGTAAATTAAGAAGTATTTTAGTATTATTCAGAGATGGGCGATTGCTACTCAGAGATGGTGAACGAGAACCCTTACGGTCTTATTCATAATAAAATGCTAATATAGGTTTAAAACCTACATTAGCTAAAACGTTTGATAGGCTTAAAACACTCTTATAAACCTCTGATAAAAAACGTTATTCATAATCGTTTATAAACCTTTGATAGCTAAAACAGAGTTTAATATTTTCTTTCCACAGACTATACAAAAAGAATGAACGAAAACAGCTTTTTTGGTGATTTAACTTGGTGGACCATGTAAAATCATAGACAAATCGCAGAAAAAAAAAAACAAAAAATTGGCAGCTGTGACGTTTTACTTACTGACATTGACATTTGGCACGAAAATTTAATAAAGTTTTCGGTTTTTTCGATCAACTCCCAAGTTTTATCAAACTTTTATAAAACTTGGGATTGTATGTTCTGGATTCTGTACCTCTTACCCTGTACTCTGCAATAAGCTCTTACGACGACCCGGCTAGTTACATCGGATACTAATTATGTCCATGACGAAGGAGAACAGACCGCCTAAAAGGCAACGATCAGAAAACTGGTTGGAGGAAGATAAGGTAGTACTTATTTTTAGCCTGATAAAGTGCCTACTAATTTTTGTAGCATGGTTTTATTTATGTTTGACGCCTAGTGTTTGCTTTTCAGTATTTGCTGAAAGAGTTGGTGAAAGAAAGAGTAAATGCAATCGAAAATAAAAATACAGACACTAACACGAATAAACGGAAGGTTGCGGCTTGGGCTGATTTACAAACAACGTTGGTACATCTTTTGATTTCTGCCTTCAATATAAAATTTTGCCTTTACCTGTAATTCAAAATCCTGTCATTTCTTTTTCAGGTTTAATTCAATGTGCGCTGGTATGAACCGCTCCATTACCCAGTTAAAATCGCAATGGAGCCTCATAAAAATCAGTGCGAAGAATTGTCAAAAAAACCAAGTCTCGCAACTCAGTTGTTCTACGGTAAAAAGTTGTGAGATCCATGTAATACCAAGTCCAGGCCAGGAAATCTTTAACGTTTTACATAAATATATTGACTTGGCCATCGCATGAAAACACGTGTAAATTAAATTATTTAGTGCGATGGCCAAGTCAATAATTTATGTAAAACGTTAAAGATTTCCTGGCCTGGACTTGGTATTACATGGATCTCACAACTTTTTACCGTAGAACAACTGAGTTGCGAGACTTGGTTTTTTTGACAAGTATTGTTTTTGATGGGATTTTAGTATTATTCAGAGATGGTGAAATTGCTACTCAGAGATGGTGAACGAGAACCCTTAGTATTTATCCCGCTGATACTACGTGCTCACGTGTCAATTACCCATGTCTGCGATTTTTTCACACACACACACACACATACACGCACGCACGCACGCACGCACGCACGCGCACACACACACACACACACACANTAGGCGGTCTGTTCTCCTTCGTCATGGACATAATTAGTATCCGATGTAACTAGCCGGGTCGTCGTAAGAGCTTATTGCAGAGTACAGGGTAAGAGGTACAGAATCCAGAACATACAATCCCAAGTTTTATAAAAGTTTGATAAAACTTGGGAGTTGATCGAAAAAACCGAAAACTTTATTAAATTTTCGTGCCAAATGTCAATGTCAGTAAGTAAAACGTCACAGCTGCCAATTTTTTGTTTTTTTTTTCTGCGATTTGTCTATGATTTTACATGGTCCACCAAGTTAAATCACCAAAAAAGCTGTTTTCGTTCATTCTTTTTGTATAGTCTGTGGAAAGAAAATATTAAACTCTGTTTTAGCTATCAAAGGTTTGTAAACGATTATGAATAACGTTTTTTATCAGAGGTTTATAAGAGTGTTTTAAGCCTATCAAACGTTTTAGCTAATGTAGGTTTTAAACCTATATTAGCATTTTATTATGAATAAGACCGTTAGTATTTATCCCGCTGATACTACGTGCTCACGTGTCAATTACCCAAGTCTGCGATTTTTTCGTGTGACAATGGCGCCAATTTTTACATAACTTTTCAATGAAAGAGCTTAATATTAAACAGACCTATCGGGGCCTGCAAAGCCTCTTAGCGTAAGCGCTTTATATGCATAAAGATTTAGGAAAACTTGTAGAAACCGCATCGCATTCACGCGGCTTGCATAGCAGAAGCTTGAGACAGCATAACATTTTTAGTAAGTTAACTTAATAGGCTTACGCGTAGTTCATAACAAAAATAAGTTGTTTACTTAGATACAAAAGAGGTTTTGTTCTGACTGTACTCGTCCCTACACGTTTCATTACAGCCACCAAATCCTTTGTTTTAGGCGAGAATAAAGAACAATAATGGCTTTGATAAAACATGGCTACAAAATGTGGATTTGAGGTGGGTACGTACTTAAACGGGTAGGTATTTGAGTTTATAATTTTACAATTAAATTGGTTGCTGCTGAGTACATAAGGAAGTCTTTTATTACTATTATATGACAACTTCCTGATAAAAACACCTTTTGTTTAACTTTGTTCCGAAAATGTAGTTAAAAGGTATTTAACATTGTTTTATGGTTGGCTTATTGGTTTTATTCGAATCGTTATGTTTTGAAGATTACAATAGATGTCTGAGGTTGTGAACTGTAATCCAAACTGTGATCTTAAGACCAAGTATTTTTAATTTAAAATAGTTTTTTCACATTTGATTACCTCCCAATTTCAGTGGCCCCTCGTGGCCAGTGGTTACCGTTACGCCCTATCAGACAAAAGCATTTGCTGGTACATAAGTACGTTAAAAACGTTAAAATTAGCGTATTTATGCCTCTAGGGCTGATGTCGACATCATTTGAGGCAATAATATTTTTTTTTATGCATAACAAGGCAGGTATTTGACCACAATCGCACCTGATGTTAAGTGAGATGCAGTCTAGGATGGTACATATCTGCCCTGTAAGTGCTTATTCACTCTCGCCTTGAAGAGGCCCGGGTTATAGTTTTCGGGAAAGACAGCAGCAGGCAACGAATTCCAGTCCCTAGCAGTTCGCATTATAAAAGAGTCATCGAAACGCTTAGTGCGAGCTGGTGGAATGTCAACAATATAGTGATGGTACGCTAACCTGCGTCTGGTTCCCCGATGATGGAAGGGGGCTGGTGGAATTAATTCATGTAATTCTTTCGCACATTCTCCGAAGTGTAGCCTGTAGAAAACCGATAGGGATGCTACCTTACGGCGATGGTCAAGTTCCTGGAGCGCCGCTTCTACAAGGGTGGGGCTGTCGATAAGTCTTCTGGCACGCCTTTCCACCGAATCCAAAGCAGCCAAATGTTTCTTGGCAGAGCCGTCCCAGAGGTGGCAGCAGTATTCCATGCAAGGTCGGATCTGTGCTTTATAAAGCTGCAGCCTTTGCTTCTTGGAGAAGTACTGCCTTGCCCTCGAGAGGATACCAAGTTTTTTGGCAGCAGTTTTCGCTATGGATTCGATGTACTCGCCAAAGTTCAGCTTGCTGGACAAGAGTTGCAGTCGCTCGGTGATTTTGATAGGCACACCTCGGAATTTTGGAGCCATAAGAAATGGATTTTGTTTTGCGGAGAACAGACACGCCTGTGTTTTTGACGCGTTAAATTGGACCAGGTTGGCATCGCCCCAATCAGAGACATTTCAATAATCATGAAACTGTAAAACCTAACTCGTACGCTTTTGATGCTTTTAAGATAACTAACGAGTTTACTGACGTAGATATATCATATAAAATATGTATTAATATCAGTCTTGTATCTATATCAGAGGCATACTGATCTCACGTGCGCCTATATGCATACTCGTAAATACAAGGTGCTCACAGACACGAGCTCACGTCCTGCATTTAGCTCTCGGCCAAAGCTCGGGCGTGTCGCCTAACTTACAAGTAGATCTCTTGATCGGGTACTTACAATTAGTAGGAAATACATTATAGCTTCAGGTGTCCTCGCAAACATCGCAATTACCCCAGTAACAGATATGCTATGTTAAACTCTAGTTACCGCCAGATGAGAGCATTCCAAACGCCGCATTGAAACAGATTGTATACTGTAGGGCTGCGGGCGATAAAGTAAATTGAAGTACCTACCTAATTTATTATGTTAATACCCAGATTAACAGGCTTATTCGAATTGCTCTATTTTTTTTGTTAGATACTTTATTGTCTATGTTGTTATATTGATGTCAATAAATAATCTACTTGATACACCCTATACCTAGGAGGTCGTTGAAGAAGAAACATGAAAGGTCCTTGAAGCCAGAAAATGTACGTCTTTTCAAGCAGTATTGTAATGAATATGACTGTGGCGTGCTAGCCCTACTGCAAATGATCCACACACGGAACATGGAGGGTCGTGTCGATATCGTAATTAACTGCGAACTCTGCGGCCGCTCGATAACAGAGAACACTCCTAATCATCTGCTTGTGCTCGCACTCGTGTGCGCCGGCCGATAGCAAGCTACCGGGGGCGAGCATACGAGCCGCTTCAGCAGGCCCGAGCCTCATTAACGAAGAAAATGAGCCGTTATTTGTACAAGCTTTATTCAGATTTAGCGTTGGAACACTAACGTCTGTCTACTCCTGGTTAATTAAAGCTCACAAATTGAACTCACGTCTCACGAGTTCAAGATTCGAGGTTGACATTATCAAACTTTAAAACATCTAATAAAACATTCAGGGTGTCACGGAGTTTAGAAGCTAATGAAAATATATTTAGTAACTGCTTGCACGATATCGAAAAGTTTATGAAAACTTAGAAGATTACCCACAGAAATGTCGAAGTTTAACAACCGAGTGAAGACAGGGAGCGGGCCTAGTGTACAAGTGCTCAAATAGGTTTCAGCTGTCGTTCACCTCCCGTCAAACCGAATGACGCAAATGTAATTAGTTTGCGATTAGTTGCTTATCATCCAGTAATTAGCTGTCGTGCAGTTGACAGGTGAGCTGGGCGGGAGCGGAGGCGCAGTGGCTCGGTGTAAGGGTCACAGGTTCCCATTCAAGACGATTAAGAAAACTGTCTTATCTAATTCTGTGTATAATTGTTATATTTTGTCCCAATGAAAAGATTATTCCATTTTATTCGTTCGATTTTTTTTCAATTGTCAGCCATCAAAACCACTCGATTTGATTTGGCCGTTGCCTTAAATTATTGTTAACATACTGAGTACCTACCGTATAAATTAATACAGAAATAACAGATCAATAAATTCACACAATAGCAACATAAGCTTATTCGATGTATGTATTTAGGGAAACATCAAAATATTTTTGAATAAGGCTTAAAAATAACTGTATATTTCAACTATTCAAAATTATCAAAGCATGTTACGAATAAATGTAATGAATCCGGCTTATTTCCAACGAGCAAACAAAATATTTGAAGCATCATAGAGCATTATTACACGTGCTTATCTGTATTTTGATTGCGAGAGCTACGTTATTTACATTTCGTATAAAATAAATATTTTTCGAGTACCTATTTTGATATCTTTAGGAATGTATTTTAACTTTGTTAGGCTGCGAAAATCATCACAATATTGTAGGGAATTCTTAAATTCAAATTCATTTCTTTTGGTATATTCAGGACTAAATTTATTTACCAAAGCACCAAAATATTTTATAAAAGACCTTTATTAGCAGTCAACCGAAAGGCGTGGCAGAAATGATGATGGTTAAATTGTTACTGAAAACTCTATACTCCAGATGAAGCGTATCTGGAAATAAAATACTTACCTAATGTAGGTAGATAGTAAGATGAAGCGATGAAATACCTAGAATAGCTGAAGTGCCTTAGTAGACTGGACTGGGGAAGGCCTCTAGGCCGTGATGTTAACTACGAATAAAATTAAATACCTCAATTCGTAAATTATTAACAAAACAAATGAGTTTGTAAAAGTTATTAATAATGCTTTATTACTTTGAAATTCTAATGTGAACGGTGCCTATAATATATTTTCACTTTAA